AATATATGACACACAACGCCATCTAGTTTCAAATAAAACATTTACAATATTTTAGTACTTAACCTCGAAACATTCAAAATCCAATATCTTTTTTCCTAGACTTCTTTCGCTAGTATTTTTTTTATGAGAATGTTCAAGAATAAATTCTCAAGGGTTATAGGCATTTTTGATATTTAAACGCTGTCATTTCACTTCAAATAAAATTATGTATGGGGACCTGCCATTGTCCTTTAATGCATCAAGAGCGTATTACAAAAGCTTGCTCAATATTTCAGGACCGCTAAAATTAGTTTTTAGAACAGTTTGAATCAACTTAGTATTAACATTTTTTGGACTTACTATTTCTCAAGTATTTGAGTATTGTGTTATTAAATCTCTACTCAAGAAAAATCTATCGACACTTTAACCTACCAAAAAAAAACTTGCTTCTTTTTTATCTATTTATACTAATTTTTTTTTATGTCATGTTGCGGAGTTGTTGATGGAAGGATCCTTGACGTTTAGCAGTGAGAAAATAACTCTTTCAAAAATATAATCATGTATTGACCTTGTTTTATTTTTTCAAGATATATATATATATATAGAGTAATAAATGAGATTACAAAACATTTAGACAAAAAAAGTTTGTTATGCAATTATTTTCATGTTTGTTGCATCAAAACTCTTTCATTTGTAGTTAAATTGATTTCGAAAATTCTTTTTAAGTGATAATTTCTTATGGGAGGGTAAACTGCTTCGTTACGTAATGCGTTACGGCGCCAGTCTGTCTGTTTTATTTTGACATTATTTTTGTAATCGAAAGGGTATACTCGCGAGGTGGTACGTTACCACTACATCAGGATTTGATGATGGGATTCTAGAGAAATCGAGTACAACTGCTGTGCGATGTTAGCACCGGCCTATATTCAATCATTTTCGCTCTGCGCGGATCCAAAGTTTGTTGTGTCATTGTTATCTATTGAGCGCGCTTTAATATTAATAGTAGTACCAGCTGAAGATGAATGGAGACAAATACGAAATGATTCATTGAAGAAAATAGATTCTGCCATGGGAGAGCCATGCTTTGGCACAAATGGGCCTGCCCGACCGGAGTAATATCGTGGCTTCCAGAATTTTTTTAATCAAGTGAGTAAGGTTACCGGAGCCCAAACTCTCCCGCTCTTGATTCCGGGAGAAGGAAGGCAGGGTCATTTATCCTATGATCTATGTAACTCGCGGGGCGCGGTGGCATGATAATCCGTAGAATAAAACAGCATGACACATGCTGCAGTATAATTGGTTCGAAATAAAGTAATATGATTTATAAACTCATTGAAATAAGGATAAAAAGAACTTGATCAGAAATAAAATCACGGACAACCGGTGATGGGTACTTATCCGAAGGGCGATTTCCGCACGGAAAAAGGCTTCGGCATTGCACGCGGGCGCAGATAGCGGCGGCCCTGGTAACAAACTAATGAATCGTTGCCTACTAATATAATATTGTCGATAAGACTACATTTTAGTTTTTTCTTTTTTATACTTTCATGCCTTACCCACTTAACCGATCATTATGAAATTTTGTACACAAGACAATTTTGTAGGCAATGCAATCCCCAGGGCCTCTTTTTTTTTGAAGATTCAGCTTTTTGTAAGTCGATGAAGGGTTGTGATGAGGGTAATAGCATCACCTGACTGAACGTATCTCCTCAGTAACTAACAGCAAAATCGTGGCCCCTAGGCAGTTGCCTACTCTGCCTAATGGTTAACCCGGTGGTTAATGGCGTCCGGGGTACCTACAGATACGATAAAGATAATTTAAATCCCTTTTATTGCCAAAAAGTACGGTTCCAGTAACTCATGTAGTACCTCAGTACCGGTCAGAATGCATGATAAAGAAAACTGGTAAACCGTATGTAATAAACATAATCAAAACATATAAAATTAATCGTCCTGGCTAACTGACTGATTTATCAACGCAGAGCCTAATACGCCGGGGCTACAAACTTAAAATATTAGCAGTTAACGCTTTTTATGTTGTAAACACCCACTAAGAAAAGATTATTGAACATTTTATCCCTAAACACGGATAAAATTTCCAAAATCTTTAAATAGGATACGTATGGAAGTTCGTTATCTTCAAAATTAAAAACACGAAATAAGAAATAAACACGCAGCGAACACGATACGTTTGATATGAAGCATGGCAAGCAGCTACTTTCCGCACCACTTATTTCCTCATATTTTTATAATTGCTCTTTTGAAATATATTTCTTCAATGTTATTTTTCTATTTTGGAATTATACACATATTTCAAAATACATACAGTTTTGGTTAACAACATGGGCTAATTAAACAGCTACAAGACTTTTGTTTCAGGAGTTATATTTTTAACAAGCAAATAATTAACCTAGAGAATACAAATATGCAAATTTCCCACCGCTAAAAGATAAACTTTTGTAGTAGTATATTTAAACTTTCCTATAAATTAGGAGATTATTGCTTTATATCCTTTACAATAACTATAGAACGCCACCTTCATTGTCATGTAGATCGCAAAGTAGACGTATCGCAAAGTATCATAATACATTAGCTATAGTTGATCCTTATTACATTTTAACTATTTACCTACTTATATATTTTAGGAAGTGAAAAATCGTAGTACATGGTAGTAAGTATATTTTTTATTACAAATATACTGAAATATTCAATTCCGTTTAATAAACGTGACGGGTTAATATACTTATTCAAGTACCGTATACTTATTTTTATATTGATTTAGGTATGTCAGTCTTAAGCATTACGTTGCCCACCATTACAGTTTGCAGATAAATATCCACGTTTGCAGTGTTTTTTTAATAAAAATACTGATAATTTATATTTATTCATCAAAAACATAGTGTGATAATATTATGTGCCTACTTGACAAATACGGCTAAAGGTAACAATTGGTTTGTAAACTTGACATTATTTAACCGAAACAGAATGATTCGAATATGTCGCCCATGCCTATTAAGAATGTGAATGTGAATGAAAAAGAGCTGCAAATCAGCAATTTTACAGCAACTTATACTTTGTTAACAAGGCTATTTAAAAAAAAAATGACTTTGTTAAAGATGCTGTAAAACATTGGTGTTCAGGACAATAGTAAAATAAAAACAAAATCAAGAAAATCCGACCTTCTTAGTAGGGACAGATCATGTGAGAGATACGCAAATCGGTATGGTTTAACTTACAATGTTAAGAAGACGGAAATGGTGATATTCAGGTCCAGAAGGGGACCGGAAAACGTACAACTAGTATTTTTGAAATGACAACTTGTTAAGATAGTCGAATCATTCAAGTACCAGATCGTAACATCTAGCCTTAAGGATGATGCCGATGTAGAACCACAGCGACGGCCTCTTTGTTGCGAAAGGAATATGCATCATATTTCTACATCACCTGAAGTTGACTAGGAGACAATGTACCATGGCATAAGTCCGCCTTTGTATAGCACGTAAAAACAGGGACTCGCCAGCTTCCCTGATTAAGTTTTCTACCTTGCTTTTCTGTAATTGTAATCAATTGATCTCAAATCCATTGAAGGAGTTGGCACCTGTGATACAATTCTGGCATTAGTACAGGTCTTACCGGCGCATTATACTTGTCTTGTCATAAAATTATTTGGGAGAATGTTTGTTAAGAAATTCGGTTAAAAATAAATTATGATTATTTCTTATAATTGCTATGTATAATTATATTTTTATTAACCTTTCCTTTTTTAATTTGGAGTTTATATCTAAGGTAGTGTCGCCGATGATGGCCCGGCTCCTAGGATAGCCCACTTTTAAAAAAATACAGTTATGATTATTCGAAACATTTGAAATTTCGCGGGTTTATGCTACTAGTACCATAGACAATAGTGCAAGTGTGTTTCATTACCGGCGCGTCGCCATTTTGAATACAAATGACAGTTTGCTTGGTCATGTCAAGACGATACACGTTTTATAACCTCCATTATCTAAATCCTTTTGAAAATTAACAGATTTAAAACAAATTTCTTTGCTCTAAACTGTGAAAATTCATATTTAATCTATTTATCAGCGAATTACAGGTGAGTGTTATTATTTTATTTCCTTTTTTGTATTTTTACGAGATTATACTCAACCCGGGTGTAATTTCCTATCATGGCCCATAATATAATTCCCAAACATAGCCCGGGCCTTGCTAGGATTATTGAAATGTAGTGTTAGTATATTTTTGTGTTTGTATGTTTGTTTTTTTTAAGTTTGTCTGCGCATGTTTCGGAAACTATGTTGGATTGTAATAAATCTTGAATTAGGTACCTATAGTCCAACTTAAAAATAGTGTAAGTTTTAACAAAATCGGTTTAGTGATTGTTGAGATTGAATAAGCATGTATTAAATTTGAAGTCAGCAATTTTTTTTTAAATTACTTTTTAAGGTACTAAATTTTTGTTTGTTTTATTCTATTTTTTATCGCAGATTAAAATGGAGCCTTCTACTAAAAAACGGCGCGGGGAATGGACAGAAACACAGTTGAAGTCCGCCCTTCAAGCAGTAAAAAGCTGCCAAATGTCACAGCGAGAAGCTGCTGAAACATATGGCATACCGAGGCGAACATTAAGAAACCACATAGAATCTGGTTCCATGGAGAAGATAACTGGTCGTGTCCCTATTCTTAATAAATCACAAGAAAAGGATTTATGCAAAAGGATAATTAGACTGTCTCAGATAGGAATGCCATTAACTCCCAAAATTGTTCGGAAGCAGGCTTACGAATTTTGTAAAGCGAATAATGTACCGAATCTTTTTAGTGATAAAAAGAAGATTGCTGGAAAAAAATGGCTCACAAATTTTGTGAAACGCAATCCAGAAATATCGCTACGAAGGGCTCAATTGTTAAATCCCGCCAGAGCACAAAAACTCAACAAGCCAATAGTTTTAAAACATTTTGAAGCCCTAAAAGACATTTACGATGAGTTAAATATTTCCACCCACCCGGAACGCCTTTATAACATGGACGAAAAGGGATGTCGTCTAACACTACACCACCAACAGAAGGTTTTTGCAGCAAAAGGAACCAAGAGAGTGCACTTTGTCAGTCAAGAACATGCAGAAAATGTCACAGTCGCTATGTGTGTAAGTGCAACGGGCAACACTGTGCCACCTATGATTCTATTTAAGGGCAAAAGGTTGAGACCAGAATTTTGTGACAATTTACCACCTGGTAGTTTAGTCAAAATGGCTCCAAAGGGCAGTATGACGACCGAACTTTTTGTTGATTTCATACACCACTTAGGGCAACAACTTGAAATAGAAAGGCTGTCATCAAGTACCTCTGCCTGAAAAAAAATGTCTACCAAAGACATACACAGCGACTTAGAGGAAACATTGGGGGAGTCTGCTCCTCCATATTCCACAGTCGCACGCTGGGCAAAAGGAATTTAAGCTGGGCAGAACCTCCACTGAAGATGAAACATCGCGAGGGGACGCCCTTCCACGTCCCTTACTGGAGAAAACGTCAAAAAAGTGGAAGATATCGTATTGGGCCGATCGAAGGGTGACCGTAAGGCATGTAGCTGAGGTCACAGGGATCTCCTATGGCAGCGTTCAAAAAAATCATTGTCAACAAAATGCATATGAAAAAAGGTCTCTGCGCGTTGGGTACCGAGAATGTTAACCGACGAGCAAAAAAGAAAACGAGGTCGACATTTCGAGGGTGAATCTTCAAAAGTTCCAGGCCGATAAAGATTTTTTTTGTCGCGTTTTGTGACCATGGACGAGACCTGGATCCACCACTTTGATCCCGAAACCAAACAACAATCAATGACTTGGAAACGAGCTTCCTCAACCAACGCCGAAGAAATTCAAAGTGTCAAGTTCAGCGGGAAAGGTTATGGCGTCTGTTTTCTGGGATGCAGAAGGAATTATTATGGTGGATATATTTGAGAAAAGGGGGCCACTATAACAGGCTCTTACTACGCAGGCCAAATAAGAAGATTGCGAGAAGCTATTAAGTCAAAAAGACGCGGTAAACTGCGCGCTGGAGTGCTGTTTCACCAAGACAGCGCCCCGGCTCACAAAGCCGCAGTTGCGATGACTGCCATTGAAGAAACGGGGTTCGAACTGCTCGAACACCCTCCCTATTTGCCAGATCTAGCTCCCAGTGACTTCTACCTCTTTCCTCGGCTCAAAGAACACCTCCGGGGCAACAAATTTGAGGACAATAGTGAAGTGATGGCCGCAGTAGAGGCATTTTGGGAGGGTCAAGACAAAGAATTTTTTCTAAGGGAATCATGGGCTTAGAAAAAAGATACACTAATGTATTAACTTGCAAGGATACTATGTTGATAAATAAAATACTTTTTTTAATCTAATAGTTCTGTTTCATATTGATTATCATTACTTATTGATCACCCCTCGTATATGTGTCTACCAAAAACTAATTCATTATATCAGTGATCAAGCAGATATTTATAATTCCAAACTTCAATACCCCAACCTTGTTTGTCGTTAGAGTATTTGTGTATATTATATACCAATACCCAATTGCTTTGACGAAAAACATAACATAGGTACCTATAAAAAAAGGTTTTCAAAGTACTTTATTTCTAATCCTTTGTTTTTCATTAATTGTGTTACAATCATTCATTTCAATTTATAGCATTTACTTAATGTTTTGTTCCTATACTAACTTTTTTTATATTTTTGACTAAATTGAGCACAGGTAACACATTGCTATTGCATTTTTGTGTTCCCTTTAACTATTTTAAAGGCTTGTTAATGGGTTCACTTCTTAGGGTTGGACCCCATGCGAAAATTAAACGATGCGGTGTCGTCGCATTTTTAGAAACAAGATCAACCTTGGTTTTGTATAATAATTCTTTGATCAACATTTTCAAATTTATCAGAAAGAACTTCAGTGTTACTTTATCTGCAAATTGTAAAGATGGTCGATGGCACATTTTTGTGAATTTTATCAATGATCATAGCAGATACAGACACTGCGACTAAATTTTAATAAAATTGCCGATAATTTAAATATTCCAACAAAAAAATTGAGACATTAGTACTAGTTTCTAACGTTTACTACATTGCTTCATACATAAGTATATTCTAATTACATTAAGAAATATAACATGGGCAACTTAAGCACAAGTTCTTTTACATACGCATTATGTGGTATAACTTTTCATTTTTCAAGCAATGGCAAATAACAAATTCATATAGTTTAATGTAAATAGTTTAATGTAAATAAAAATACTTTCACAAAACTTGTATGAATCCTTATTTTTTAACACGACTTTGACTTAACTTTGAGCTGCTAAACAAAACTGTAACGAATATAATTCTAGATTCTAGCAAAGGTTAATTCTTAACAAATCCGTAAAATTAAATTTTTTCGCCAAAAAGCTATACTTGTTAATTAATTAAACTGTAATTTTTTAATGGAATGAAATTCAATACTTAGGGACGGTAATCGAAAACAGTCATGGAGACTCATTCTTGGTTTGTTCAAATTTATTCACAATAAAAATTGTTAATGAAATGCAATAACTCAAATGCGTTTGTACAAAAACCCGATTTTTGGCTTCTTATTACTACCTTAGATTAATAATACATTTATATATTAATACATATTTATTTCTAGATGCATAGGTACATATTGAGGACATATTTTTTTCAGGCACTAATTGTTAACACGGCGCATAGCGTAACTAGTTTAATATTTTCGTTGTATATTATACCTAATTATTAATACTCATACATAATGAAAATAATTCTCAGATAACAGCAGTTTACATTGATCACCATTTTCATGTCTCTTCATCTCGCAAAAAAAAGTATAAAGTCTATGTTACACAATATACTATACAAAACATAGACTAACAAATTTTTAGTAGGTCCCCCTCTACACTTACAAAAAAGTGCAATAATATATTAAAATGAATTTTATTCCGTGATGATTTGATAAAAAAAAAAGAAAAAGAAACACAAAAATTCAAATACTATTGTAAAATAAAAAAACTGAAGAGTTTGAAAAGAAAGCAATCTATTAACCAAACAGAATGATTCGATAAGATGTCGTCCATCATGCTATTAAGAATGTGAATGTGAATGAACAGAGCTGCCAAATCAGCAATTTTACAGGCAATCCTTTTATACTTGTGTAACAAGGCTATTAAAATAAAAATTACTTTGTTAAAGATGCTGTAAAACATTGGTTGTTAAGGACAATAGTAAAATACAAACAAAAATCAGAAAATCCAGACCTCTTGAGTAGGGACAGATCATGTGAGAGATACGACAAATCGGTATGGGTTAACTACAATGGTAAGAAGACGGGAACATGGTGCTATTCGACAGGGTCCAGAAGGGACCGTGAAAACGTTACAAATGTAGTATTGTTGAAATTGACAACTGTGTAATGATAGTCGAGTCGAGTCATTCAAGTATAGCAGATAGGTAACATCGTAGCCCTTTAAGGATGATTGCCGATGTAGAACACAGACGACGGCTCTCTTGTGCGCAAGGAATATGCATTCTATATTTTTTACTATCACCTGAGTTGACTAGGAGAACAAGTGTTTGTATTTTTTTTTTACCCATGCATAGTCCGCACTTTGTATAGCACGTATAAAAATAAAGGGACTCGCCAAGCTTCCCTGATTAAGTGTTTACCTTGCTTCTGTAATTGCTTAATCCATTGATCCTAAATCCATTGAAGGAGGTCTGGCTACCTGTGATACAATTCTGGCAATTAGTAGAGCGTTTACCGGCGCATTTGATAAGTGTCTTGTCATTAAAAAAATTATTTGGGAGATGGTTTGTTAAGAAATTCGGGTTTAAAAATCAAATTATGATAGTTATTTCTTAAATTGCTAGTATAATTATATTTTTATGTAACCTTTCCTTTTTTTAAGTTTGGAGTTATATCTAAGGTTAGTGTCGCCGAGCATGATGGCCCGGCTCCTGGATAGCCCACTTTAAAAAAATACAAGTTTATGATTATTCGAAACATTTGAAAATTTCGGCGGTTTATGCTACTTAGTACCGTAGACAATATGCAAGTGGTGTTTCATTCCGGCGCGTCGCCATTTTGAATACAAATGACAGTTTGGTGGTCATGTCAAGACGATACACGTTTTTAAATACCTTCCAATTATCTACATCCTGTGAAAATTAAACAGATTTAAAAACAAATTTCTTTCTCTATAACTAGTGAAAATTCCATAGTAATCTAGTATGTACTAGCGAAATTTATCAGGAGAATGTGGTATTTTTTCTTTCCTTTGTAATTTTTATCGAGATTATACGTCAACAGGTGTGTAATTCTATCTAGGGCTGCCTATAATATAATTCCCAACCGTAGCCGGGCTCTTGTACTAGGATTATTGAAATGTTAGTGTTAGTATATTTGGGGTTTGTATGTTCGTTGTTTTTAAGTTGTCTGCGCATGGCTTCGGAAAACTATGTTGATTGTAATAAATTCTTGGAATTAGGTACATATAGATCCAACGTAAAAAATAGTGTAAGTAGATAGTTTTAACAAACTGGTTTTAGTGATTGTTGAGATTGTGAATAAGCACGTATTAAATTTTGAAGTCGCAGCAATTTTTTTTTAAATTACTTTAAGGTACTAAATTTTTGTTTGTTTTCGTTATCTATGTTTTATCGCAGATTAAAATGGAGCTTCTACTAAAATAATCGGTCGCTGGGGCAATGGACAGAAGAAAACCTTGAAGGTCCGCCCTTCGAAGCAGTACAAAGCTGCCAAATGGCACAGCGAGAATGCTGCTGAAACATATCGGCATACCGAGGCGAAACATTAAGAAATGCACATAGATGGTTATCCAGAGAAGATAATCTGTCGTTGGTCCCTATTCTTAATTAAATCACAAGAAAGTGATTTATGCAAAAGGAAATAGAATGTCTCTAGATAGGATATGCAATTATAGCGCCCAGAAATGTGTTCGGCAAGAGGCTTATGAATTGTGTTAAAGCGAAGAATGATGTATCCGAATCTTGTAGTGATTAAAAAAGAAGATTGCTGGAAAAAAATGGCTCACAAATTTGATGTGAAACGCAATCCTAGATAACTAATCGCTACGAATGGGTCTCAATTGTTAAATCACGGCCAGAGCACACAAAACTCAAAAAAGACATATAGTTTAAAACATTTTGAAGCCCCTAAAAGACATTTACGATGAGTTAAAATATTGTTTCCACACCACCCGGAAAAGCCTTTATAAAATGGACGAAAGGGATTGTCGTCTAACACTACACCACCAAACAGAATGGTTTTTGCAGCAAAGGCAACCAGATGAGTGACACACTTGTCAGTCTAAGAACATGCAGAAAATGTCACACAGTCGCTATGTGTGTAAGTCTAACGGGCAAAAAACTGTGCAACTTATTGATTCTATTAATTAAATAAAAAAAAAAAAAAAAAAAAACCAAAAAAAAAGAAAAAAAAATTTTTAAAAAAAGAAAAAAAAATTTAATAATTAAAACCCCCGACAAATAGAAAAAAAAAAAATGGGCATAAAGGTGTGAGACCAGAATTTTGTGACAATTTACCACCTCGGTGAGTTTAGTGTCAAAATGGCTCCAAAGTGTGCGTATGACGGGACCGTAACTTTTGTGGTTGATTTAATACACAACTTAGGGCAGAATAAATCTCCAGGATAAAATGACTTACTAATTTGTGATGGCGATGCAGCAGTCCTCCCACCCCACAAAAACAGCAGAGCCGCAACACGACAATTGAAACCGACGAGAGAGGCGAAAGACAGCGAGAGATGGATCACAAACAGCGAAGAACAAGGCCTCACAGCGCAGACACCACAAACACAGAACCCCCAAAGAACGAGCGACACAGGAAGAAAGAAAACGACAGAACACCAAGACGAGAAAAGGCGAGCCAGCCAAATAATATAACAAGGGGCCGACGCCAGACAAGAAGACAGAAGAGAAGGGAAAGACACAAACGGAAGACAAAGGAAAAAGAAGAATAAGACAAAAAGAAGAAAGAAGGGAAAAGTAGGAGACAAAGAAATAGAGAAAAAGGAACAAGAGGAAGAAGAAAAGAAAAAGAAAACAAAGGAAAGGGATGGCAGATGTAAGAGAAGGAGAACGAAAAAAAAGGATGGAGGGGGGAAAAAAGAGAGACATAAAAAAGAGAAGAAAAGAGAAAAAAGGTAAGAAGGAGACACACGTAAAATCGGGGTTGAAGGGAAAATGAAACAAAAAAGAAAAGGACAAGAAGAAAAAAGCAAGAGAACAGAATGAACAGAAAAGCAACAGGAGAAAGGAAAAATAGAGGAGAGGCGGCAAGAGGAATGAATGAGGACGAAAAAAAAGAAAAGATAGGAGAAGCAAAAGAATGACGGAGGAAAAGAAAAGGAAGAGAAGTGCAACAGCGATACGGTGAGAAAAGACAGAGAAGAAAAGGAAAGAGGGCGAGAGAGGGGGGCGGGAAAGGTGAGGGGGGCGGGGGGGGCGCGGGGGGGGGGGGGAGAGGGGGAGGAGGGCGGAGCGCCCCAGAACCAACGAAGACAAAGACCGCGGGCCCAGGCCCCCGCGCGCGCGACGCCCCCGCGCACCCCCAGCGACACGAGAGCCGACGCCCAGCATGGCCAAACAGACACACACGCGCCCCACAGAACGCCGCACACGCAGGCCCCAAACCGCCCCGCCGCCGCCCGCCCAAGGGGGCCAGCCACATCAAGGCCAATGCAGCGAGTACGACCGCACCGGCAAGGGGTCCGCACAGGGGCGGACCACCCCCAGGGACAGCGGACACGAGCGTATCCAGCGACACCGCAGCAGGGAAGCATCCAGGGCCGAGGCCCATCGAAGCGCGGGCCGAGCACGCCGCACACGGGGGGGGCCGCAAAAGCCCAACACGCACCCGCGGCGCGACCGCGGCCCACACAAACGCCCCTACGGGCGAACACAACTGCAAAGCGTGAGACACGCCACGCCAACCATGCCCCCCCCCCGAGCCGAGAGCAACCCAACCACAGCGAGCGCACAACAGAGGACTGACTCGGACAACACTGGAGCAGACGCCACAAGAAAAACAGGCCCAAACACCGGAAACACGCCACAGAAAGCACGCGGCCCCCCCGCGCACACCCGTCCTCAAGAGACCAAGAGAGCCACGCCGGAAACGCAGGTCGGGCCCCCTTGCCCTGCCGGGGAAGTAGCCCACCCAGACGTCGCGAACGCACCCCGCCCGAGCCCCAAGCACGGAGAGCACGGACCCAGCCGCGGGCCCCGCCAGCGCGGCGCCGGGGTCGGCGGCACTCAGCCGCGAGAGAAGGGCGGAGCGGGTGGGGGGGGGGGGGGGGGGGGAGACGGGGTAGTGGGGCGGGGAGCGGGGGAGGGGGGGGGTGGGGGTGCGAGGGGGGGGTGGGGGGGGGGGGGGGGGGGGGGGGGGGGGGGGGGACGGGGGAGCGGGAGGGGGGGAAGGAGGGTGGGGAGAGGGGGGGGGGGTGCGCCCAATGCACCACACAACGCCCAGCCACGCCGACGCGGTACCCGCCGCCCCCCGCCGCTCGGCCCGGCCCCGGAAGAAACACGTCCAGCGCACGCCAACGCCACGCGACCCAGCGAAGCGGGGGGAGTAACGGGAGGGCCGCCGGCCGCCACGAGCGGGCGCGGACGGGGCCACAACAGCAGCCTACAGACGACCCGCCCACCCGCCCCCCACCCCCCCCACAGCCGCCCCACAAAGGAGCCCCTGGCCGACCCCCCCGAGCGCCCAGGCGGCCCCCCCGCAGCCCCCGAGAGCCCCGCCCCCCCGCGCGGCCAACAGAGCCCCCCGCCCCACCCCGCCCGCCGCCCGGCGTTCACACCCACCCCCCCGTCCGCCGCCCCCACCACCAAGTAACCCACGCCCACCCGGCCCCTCCGCCGCCCAGAGCACCGACACACCCACAGCCCCGCTCTCGCCCGCGCCGCCCCAATCCCCCACGCACGTCCCCCCCGCCATCTAGCCGCGCCCACCCCCAGCGCACCGGCCCCTCCCCGCGCCACCACCCCTGCCCCCACACCCACAAAAGCGCACGGCGGACAGCCCGACCCCCCGAGCCAGCACCGGCCCACCGCCGGCGCCCGCGACAGGCCCGGAGCCCCCAGCCAAAAACCCCCCCCGCCACGAACGTGACCGACCCCTGCGCGTGCTGGACCGGGCGCCCGGGCGGCACGCGAAGAGCCATCGCCCCAACGACCGCCCCCCCGGGCCGCCGCATCCCACCCAGCGGAGACCCCCGCACCTCGTCACACCGCGCGGCGCCCCCCGCCCGTCCAGGCCCCGCCACCGCCGCACAGTTACACACCGCCAAACCGGCCGACGAGTCGACGCCCGCAGGCCCGAGCCGCCCAGCACACGCCAAACCCACCCGCACCCCTACGACCCCCACAACCAGGACACAGCAACGCGCGCCCGAGCCGCCCACCGCGGCCGGCAAAAACAACCGACCAGCACGCGCGGCCAACTAAACCAGAGGAGGACGAGGCAGACAGAGGAAAGAAGAAAAGGCAAAACCGCGATAGCGAAACAGAAGAAGGCCAAAGCGGAAGAACAACGCAAGAGAAGCAGGAAAGAAAGAAGAAAAAAAAAAAAAAGAAACGGCGGAAAAAGAGAGAAAAAGAAAAAACCCTAGAAAAGAACCCGAAACGAAAATAAAAACAACCAAAAAAGAAAAGCAAAATAGAAATAGAAAGAAAAAGGACAGACGGAGAAGACCCAAGCAGAGAGCGCAGGCACGAACCAGAAGACAGCAGCAAAAGAACGACAAAAGAAAAGACCAAACAAAGAAAGAAGGGAGAGAATCAAAGAAAGACGAAAAGAGAAGGTAAAAAGGAAAACACGAAAGAAAAAGTAACCAAAAAAGAAAAAAGAAAAAAGGGGGGGAAAAAGAGAAAGAATGAGACAGACGAAAGAAAAAAAGAAACAAGAATCAAGACGAGAACACGAAATATGAAAGGAAGGTAACAAAGCACTCCGCAGACACGGACCCGGACAACGGAAAAAACGCCGCAGCCTCGCACTAGCCGCAAACACAAAGCAGCGGGAACACCTAAATCCACCCCGCGCCGCATCGAAGAATCAGCCCAAAAGCAACGACATCGAACCAAAACATGACAGACGAGACTAAAGAAGACAGCTGCCGCAGAGCTCCCGGTAAAACAACGGAGAAAATGACAGCAGAGAAAAACAGAGAAGAAGGAGAAAGGGGGGAGAAAAGAAGGAGCGAAAAGAAGAAAAGAAAAAAAGAAGTAAGGTGAAAATAAGGGAGATAATGACAAGAAAGTCGACAGAAAGAGAGACGAAAATGAACGAGTAGAAAGGAAAAAGAAAGGAAAATCAAAATCAAAAGAATACAAAAAGAAGAAAGAAACAAGGAGGGAATGACGAACAAGTAGAAGAAAGAAAAAAAAGGAGAGGTGAAAAAACTTAAGAAAAACAGAAAAAGATATGGAAGGTCAGAGAGAGGACAGAAAGATATAGTAACAAAGAGAGAGGGCCAAGAGAGAAAAAAAGAAAATAAAGCAGAAGAAAAAAAAAAGAAGCACGAGGAGGGGGGGAGCGAGGGGTGGGGTAGGGCGGGGGGGAGCCCCTGAGCCGCGCTGAATCCCACCGCATCAGGAGAGATCGCACAGCTGAGGAACGCCAAAGGGCAAGATGCCGGGCAAGAGACCCGAGGCTCCCCACAGAGACGGGTCAACCGCAAACCGCAAGAGAAACCCCAAGCAATACGAGGCCTAGAACTACCCCGCGAGAGAATGGAAGAGTAGAGGAAAGAAGCCGCACAGCCCGGAAGAAGACGAGGCAAACAAGAAACAAGAGAAAGAGGAGCTGAAAGAAGGAAGGCACAGTACAACCGGGAGACAATAGAAAAGAGAGACGACAAGACAAGAGAGGAACGTAGAAATGTACTAACAGAGGAAGACCGACACGGGAAGAAGAAGAGACGCGAGCGACAGAGAAGTAAGGGAAATATGAAAGCAGAGAACACCAGACATAGGGATCGGTAGGAAAGAGGGGGGTGGAGGGGGTGCGGGGGTGGTGGGGAGGTGCGGGAAAAGTAGAGAAAGGATACAGCAAATAGAGGTAGTAAGAGTGAAGGAAAAAAATAGGAGAAAAAAAAAGTCAAGGAATCTACGAAAAACGTAAAGAAACGATAAAAAAAGGAAAGAAACAGCAAGAGCGAAGGAAAGAAATACAAAAACAGGGCAACACTGTGAAGAGCGAATCTAAAGAAAGTCAAGAGTCGCGCAATAAAAGAAGCCATCCAACAAATGGAGGACGACAGCATCAAAAAAAGCAAAGAAGACCGCGGGAAGAGAAGCAGGAATATAGCAGAAAAAAAAAGACGTATAACAGAAGCGTAAGAACGCGCAAGACATAAGAAGACAGAATCAAAAAAATGAAATGAGATGAAATAACAACAGAGCAGAAATAAAAACTAATCCTACACAACACAATGACAACATCGTACACTTTGTTCCAAGTACTGCATCCTACTCTCCGACAGCCCAGTCATACCAAATACCCTCAACACTATACTAAACGACTCCTCTCCCCCCTCCGCACCATATTCCCCTCCCCCAACCTGCATGTGGGTAACTTCCCCTCCCCCTCCTCTGCCCTCCCCCACGACGCTCCCCCCCTGACCCGATCACCACATCTTCACTCACGCACTGCCTCACGCGCTCCTCTCGCCGCCAGGCCCGTCATCCGATCCAGCATCCCCCGCTCGCCCCAACTCCAGTCAACACTCTCACCCACCCCTACTTCCTGCTACAAGCCCACTCCCTCTTAGCCTCGATCCTCTACGCCCGAGTCAACCGATAAACCACCGCACACGACTATCGGCCCATCCTTACCTAACAACCTCGCCAGACCCTCCGCAGCGCCCATAACCTAAACTTCGAGAACGCCTCGATAAGCCACCAATCCATAGACCCCAGAAGGAGCTCATCATAACCGTCATGAAACAAGCGCATAAGCAAACAAAAAAAAATCTAACCCATGGTTGACACTCCATCTACTCACCGCACTCAAACATACAAAGCGCAACTAGAGGCCCAATGGATCTAGAAAGCCTCCCCTACCTCTCACCCACCATCCCCTCAATCCAATCCCCACACCCCGCTTAAACCATACCTCAGCCCCCTCTCCCACTCCCCCGCCCCCCCTCCCCCCCCCCCCCTCTCCCCTCCCCTCTCCCCCCCGCTACTTCACTCCTCCCACTCCCCAACTCTCCCGCCCTTCTCTCCTCCCCCCCCCACACCATCCTGCACTCCCACTTCTCCTACTCCCCACCCTTCCCCTCCTCCCTCCCACGCTCTCTCCCCTCTCTTCCCTCACCTCCTCCTCCCCCTCCCTCCATCCTGTCCTCTCCTCCTCTTCTCCATCTCTCCCGCCGACACCCCCCTCCTCCCACCCGCCCCCCCCCCCCCCCCCCCCCCCAATGCACCTCCCCAGCACCCTCTTTCCCTCCAGCTATCCTCTCCACTCCCGCAACACTCCCTCCTCTCCCTCTACTATCCTCCCCCCCCCCTCTCTCAACCCTCTTCCCCCTCTCCCCCCTCTCTCCGCTTCCTACCCCCCTCTCTCCCCCCCCCTCTGTCTCCTCCCCCCCCTCCCTAGCCATCCTCCCCTCCCCCCCCCCCCTCGCCCTTCCCCTACCTTCCTCTCCCCCCCCCTGCCCCCCTCCCTCCTTCCCCCTCTCCGCCCTCCTCCTCTCCTATACACTCCTCCAGGCCCCCTCCTCTCACCGCCCCCCCTCCCCCTCAGGCCCGCCCTACGCTCCCGCCTCCCCCCCCTTCGTCTCCCCTCTACTCCCCCCCACCCCCTCCTCTCCCTCCTCCTCCAACCGCCCCTCCCGACCCCCCCCCTACCCCACCCCACCTCCCCCTTCCCGCTCACTCCTTCCACACTCTTTCCTCCCGGCATCACTTTCTCCTTCTTAGCCTTCACATCTCTTCTTGCCCCTCTTCCCCGTCAACATCCTCCCCCCCTCACGTCTCTTTCTCCTGCCTCTTCCCCCTCTACACCCTCGCCCCCTCCACTATCGACTCCTCACATTTAGACGCAAGAATCGTTGACGCAGCTGATGCCCATGATATTGTACTCTATTGCTTGCCTTCAAATACGACTCATGAGCTTCAACCGCTAGACAAATCGGTTAATAAGTCGTTCGAACATTTTTGGGATGAGGAGGTTTTGTTGTATGCATATCAGCATCCAGAACGTAAATTAACTAAAGTTCGTTTTACGAAAATTTTTACAAAAGTTTGGTCTAAGTGCATGACCAAGGACAATATAATCAGTGGGTTTAGAGCTACCGGCCTCTTCCCGTATGATCCCAGCGCAATTCCTGAAGAAGCGTATGCACCTTCAGTACTTACACTAATGCCCGATCCACAGATGGCAAGTTCCTCAAGAATGCCTGATTCAGTTTCTAATTCATCACCTTCAAGAGATTCTATTCCCGGAAGTCCTGTTATGTACCCAAGATGCGACAATCATTCGGATGAAAATTTTTCAAATCGTGAGGAAGAGGACAGGAATTTATCACCATCAATTTTAATTCACGATGATGTATCCCCAAATCATGCAAATTACGTCGAAATCGTTGAATCTTATCCGCAATCTCCAACTTTTGTCAAAAAATTAGTTGATTATAGCTCCTCTTTTGAAGATCTTATCATGGACAACTTGGAGAATCAAGATCCGATTCAAAAGCTACCTGTTTTGGAGAAATATAGAAGTACAGAGTTTTCTTTACCTGTTCCTACTACCTCTGGCTTAAATAAGCAACCTTTAATACTGCGTTTAGGTTCCAGTACGCCTGATTTATCTGAAAATGAGGATTTTGATGAAGGCCTTCAAAAAATGAAAAATTCTACAAAGCGTTTTAATATTTATACTTCATCTTCTGAATCAGACGAAGAAAAATTAAATGCAGACCTCAGAAAACTTCCATCGCTCTCTGAGCCCAATAAAGTTCAACTTGATGATCCGGAAGATAATTTACCTTTATCAGAACTGAAAAAACATGCTGAAAAATCACCATTTCACAAACAAATCCCCACTCCTAATTTCGCTACCATTAAATACAAACCGAGAAGAAAAGCGGTGAATTATATAGGCCAAAAAATAACTAAAGATTTGTTTGATACTGCTAAAGAAAAAACGGCGAAGAACACTAAAAGAACAACCAAAAAAACTAAACCAAGCAGACGAGCAAGTGACGCTGATACAACTAAAAATTTGCAACTTACAAGAAACCAGAGACAGAAAGGAAAACAACCGAGTGACTCTAATATAGGTAAAAAAGAACTAAACAAGAAAAAAGGTAATGAGCTTAAAAAAGTACCCAGAGAAAGACGACTGAATGAAGATATTAATAAGAAGGTGACAAAAGCAAGTAAGAAGAAGGAATCTAAAACACTCGAAAAACATGGTTGGTATTGTCATGGATGCAAGGTGGATAGACTTGATGATATGCGTCAATGTCAAAAATGCCAAAAATGGTATCATGAAGTTTGTGTGGGTTTAACCAAGGACGATGAGGAGCAATTCATATGTCCAGAGTGCAATTAAAGTTCTGATTAAGCTATTAAGTAAATTCACTTTTGAGATTCTTTTCAGATTTTTTTTGTTAGGAGTGTACACACTCAATTAAAGACAGTAGCGTCTAATTTGTTTTAACTTATTAAGTATATTTTGATTGATCCCAAAGTTAATTTTCAGTATTCCTTAGATAGCCCACCTATGAATGACATTAAAAAAAAATATTTTAGAAAAAAGAACTAATATATTTTTATTTTTGATAAGTTACTTTCAAAGTTGATCTCAAAGTTAAATTTAATTTTATTTAGTAGCTTGTTTTTATTTTATAGTTGATTTTTATTTTGATAGATTTAAGATAGCCCACATTTAAATTTTTGGTTGTTTTTTTACCTTTTATAAATAATGTTATGAGAAGGATGTGTTTTTATTTTGATGTTTTACGTTAAAAGTGTTTAAGTGTTTATAATGCGTATATTTTCATTAATATTTTTTGGGCCATCTTCAGTGACCAGCATCCCAAGATAGCCCAATACCAAGTTTCTAAAAAGTGTTTACATTTGTGTTAAAATGCCAAAAGCTGTACTACTTTTTTAGATATCTTGTTTCTCAAATAAATATATTACAATTTCAATTATGTTTTTTCTTTACTTTACTTATCTGCAAGATTTTACGAGGTTTTGAAATTAAGTGGGCCTTAATTGGCACCTGTACCTTATACTAATATCATAAAGATGAAGAGTTTGTTTGTTTAGTTGAACGCTGGCGCTCTTGATTGTGACAGTTTCATTTCCACTGCTAAGGTAATAGTAAATTGTGATAAAAAACAAACAGCATATTCACAATGTGTGAGCCTTAATCACTAGAAAATCATTACTCTATAATAACCTTTAGTGTATCTTAAGTGATTTTTCACAAATTACCTAATAATATTTATGTGTCTACCAAAAACTAATTCATTATATCAGTGATCAAGCAGATATTTATAATTCCAAACTTCAATACCCAAACCTTGTTTGTCGTTAGAGTATTTGTGTATATTATATACCAATACCCAATTGCTTTGACGAAAAACATAACATAGGTACCTATAAAAAAAGGTTTTCAAAGTACTTTATTTCTAATCCTTTGTTTTTCATTAATTGTGTTACAATCATTCATTTCAATTCATAGCATTTACTTAATGTTTTGTTCCTATACTAACTTTTTTTATATTTTTGACTAAATTGAGCACAGGTAACACATTGCTATTGCATTTTTGTGTTCCCTTTAACTATTTTAAAGGCTTGTTAATGGGTTCACTTCTTAGGGTTGGACCCCATGCGAAAATTAAACGATGCGGTGTCGTCGCATTTTTAGAAACAAGATCAACCTTGGTTTTGTATAATAATTCTTTGATCAACATTTTCAAATTTATCAGAAAGAACTTCAGTGTTACTTTATCTGCAAATTGTAAAGATGGTCGATGGCACATTTTTGTGAATTTTATCAATGATCATAGCAGATACAGACACTGCGACTAAATTTTAATAAAATTGCCGATAATTTAAATATTCCAACAAAAAAATTGAGACATTAGTACTAGTTTCTAACGTTTACTACATTGCTTCATACATAAGTATATTCTAATTACATTAAGAAATATAACATGGGCAACTTAAGCACAAATTCCTTTATATACGCATTATGTGGTATAACTTTTCATTTTTCAAGCAATGGCAAATAACAAATTCATATAGTTTAATGTAAATAGTTTAATGTAAATAAAAATACTTTCACAAAACTTGTATGAATCCTTTTTATTTAACACGACTTTGACTTAACTTTGAGCTGCTAAACAAAACTGTAACGAATATAATTCTAGATTCTAGCAAAGGTTAATTCTTAACAAATCCGTAAAATTAAATTTTTTGCCAAAAAGCTATACTTGTTAATTAATTAAACTGTAATTTTTTAATGGAATGAAATTCAATACTTAGGGACGGTAATCGAAAACAGTCATGGAGACTCATTCTTGGTTTGTTCAAATTTATTCACAATAAAAATTGTTAATGAAATGCAATAACTCAAATGCGTTTGTACAAAAACCCGATTTTTGGCTTCTTATTACTACCTTAGATTAATAATACATTTATATATTAATACATATTTATTTCTAGATGCATAGGTACATATTGAGGACATATTTTTTTCAGGCACTAATTGTTAACACGGCGCATAGCGTAACTAGTTTAATATTTTCGTTGTATATTATACCTAATTATTAATACTCATACATAATCAAAATAATTCTCAGATAACAGCAGTTTACATTGATCACCATTTTCATGTCTCTTCATCTCGCAAAAAAAAGTATAAAGTCTATGTTACACAATATACTATACAAAACATAGACTAACAAATTTTTAGTAGGTCCCCCTCTACACTTACAAAAAAGTGCAATAATATATTAAAATGAATTTTATTCCGTGATGATTTGATAAAAAAAAAAGAAAAAGAAACACAAAAATTCAAATACTATTGTAAAATAAAAAAAACTGAAGAGTTTGAAAAGAAAGCAATCTATTAACAAACAGATTATCGAAAACGAAGGGTTTGTAAACATTAAGAATATAAAAATGACTTTATACTACGAGTATTTACTAATATAAAATAATAAAGATTGCAATGTAAAATAGGTTTGCTGTAGATAGCTATATAAATGAAAGGCTTGTTTACTTGAATACTAATGACATAAATCGATAATTCAATATCTCTACGGCCGATGTATATTGACCTTTCTTGACAACTCTCGTATATCTCATATAGTTAAACGTTATAATAATAATAACAATAATCTACAACATACACACGACGCCATCTAGTCCCAAACTAAGCAGAGCTTGTACTATGGGTACTAGACAACTGATATAAAACCATATATACTTTTTTTTTAAATACATACATATTATACATAGAAACACCCAGACCAAATCAAACAGTAAATGTTCATGCACACAAATGTTTCACTTGAGCGGGAATCGAACCCGCGACCTCTGGAATAGCAGCCCGTTACACAAACCACTACGCCATCCGGTCGTCATAAAAGAAGATACCCTTGTTCGTAGATATTTGTTAGTTGCTTTTTTAAATAATCAAATTGAATACTTCGGCGCATATTGGCTTGATATGAATTAGAACAAATAAACAATCAGCACGACTATACATTTAAAAAGGTTGTATTTTAGCATGAAACCTTTATTAAATTATAACATAAAAAAAATGGTATACATAATTATATACATATACATAAATCAAGTTAAAGGAATTTTGCATAATAAACGTTTCTGTAACGAAATCGTGTTTTAATATTTTATTTTATTTTTTGTGTGATTTCGAAGTAATTATTTTCGAATTTGAATTTAGAGCTAACTGCTTTATTCATGGAATATGCGAGGATTCCTTGTCCACATTCCATATACAGGCAGAACCATCAAAGCTTATGGAAAAATTAATTTGGAGACAACGCAACTCAAAAAGAACAGGTATATTCTAAAAACTACTAAACAGCTAATCAAAATAGTTTATGGCCCGTGAGTGTAAATGATTTCAATGGAATTATAGAAAACATAATACGATTACACTTTATCACCTCAGTTTACTATAAAAATAGAGACTTACAGAGATTACGTAAACAATTTTTACGACTTAATAGCGATGGAACGTTTATCTATGATAGGTTATAGAGCAGAAAGATTCTTGAAGTAATTTCCTTTCTAGCCGACTAAATAGAGTGAATTAACATGACATGTTAAAACTTGCATAAGAAACTATCCCCATGTTACTTACCTACATTAGATGAGTTTACATATATTCATCTCTCTAATACTTAAACTCTAATCCATTACCCATATCAGAACAATCGTTTCTATGGAATTCTTACCTAATAAATACAAAGGTACTCTTAGAGGGCATGATAAAATTACGCACGGAGTCCACAAATAACTTTTTATATAACATTAAACAAAAGATAACATTGTAATTACTAAAAGTATTGTATTAAATGGCTTACGTAATATGTTAAAGTTTATCTCTAGACCATTAGATATTTACTTTAAATGTGTAGGTGGTTAATTATTATTTTACTCTATTTATTTAACTTGCAAAGTGGTCGACTCGCTCTTATGCAGCGCCGAGTGTTACGGGTTAAACTACCAAGCGGAACTAAAATTTGTACGATCTACAAAAACTGTGTCAAATCTGGATGTTCTCGTGTTGTGTTGAATGTTGTAAACTCTACACAATAAACATTTTTAGCATGGGTTTATTTTCATTTAAAAAAAAAATAGGATGATATGATACGACCTATATCGAATAGGACATATTGTATCAAATACAAAAGAGTTAATTTGAAAGCAATATTAATAATATCATATACTTGTCTTAAATAATTCATTCGGTCCTGCTATTCCTCCGTCAAAAAATTACAACAAAACTTGAACAAGGAATTTTTAAATTTGGAATATTTTATATCACATTTTGTATTTTCATTTTACTAGTCCTACAAATTACAACAATAAACAAGCTATAACGTATAATTAAGTAAAGGAATGTTAGATACACGGAATCGCAATGACCGTCGCCGAAGAAAGATTTAATCAAAAACAACATTAATTAGATACGTTAGCCATTTAAACCAATACTAATGGTCCTAGCTACACTAACTTATCTAGTAATTTTTTACCAGTAACGATATATTATAAAAATATTTAACACAATTTATCAGTTAATATTCATTCCGGTTACACCGTATTTTATAGGATCCAGTCCAACATTTATCAAACCATTCATTTTATAACCACAATTATCATCATGGACACCATTATGTTCTCCATTAGTGTATACATTGTCAACTTTGCGACTTACTACTTCGTCAATGGAATCCAAGAAATGTTCAAAGAAATTAGGAAAACTGTCATAACCCGGATATACATTAATATCTATGACTGCATGACTACCTGTGATATTGTCTATGACGACATCGAAGCCAGCCAAAAGTAATCGGATTTTTTTTCTCAGTGCTCTTATAACAGTTCTAATCTTGTCTTCGTTTAATGTCATTGTGATATCTGCCTTGTCATGTGGGTCAAGAATGGACAACGTGGACTGACTATCAGCTTTGCATACCTCCCCTGTACTGTAAAAGATTGGTTCTAAATCTTCTGACGCGTAGAAATTTTTGAGACTCGGCCGTTCACTAATATGATACCTGAAATTAGAGAAAAGAAACTTGATTTTATTTTTATTTTCATTTAAGGTCTTGCCAATTAGGTTAGGTTAGGTTAGTGAGGGGTCTCATGCCGCCCTGAGTGTGGCCGTGGGTGGACGGGGTGGGTTTCCCCTCCACCCGCATTAGTTGGCCAGCCGCGAGGGGGCGGCGTCCGCGTGTGCCGGACGTCGCCTAAAGAGAGGAAAATCTTGAGACGGGGCCCGCAATAGGAGCGGGCCGGCGCTAGGAGGGGTCCAGAAGGCGATAACTACCTGGACCCCTCCTAAACTGGAAGCGCAAAGAGGGCACACCGTGTGGTTTTAGTCGGTTCGAGTCCGACACACCACCCCGCCGCAAACCCCGGTGGGGTGACGGTCCGAGGGGATTTCCACACGTTAAAAAAAAAAAAAAAAAAAAGGGTAGTGAGGGGTGCTAGGCTAGAAAACCTCCCCGTGGTGCACCCTGGAAACGCTGGCGATGGTACTGTTTCCTCCTTGTCCTCTTGGAGGAGAGGATTATCGCCAGCGGCTAATATTCTAGCAGAAGAGGTAGCCGTTCATCGGCTCTCGGGCAAGGCCTGGTCCAGCAGGGTGGGCGTGTCTGCCGGTTGCCCTGCTGGCTCTTCGCTCTTCGGAGCATGGAGGAGGAAACCTCGGTAAAAAACCGGATGGCGGGGCCCTGTAGGGGCCACAGTTTCTCCGCTGACAGCGGTGGAGAAAGGAGGACGGGCTCGGCGTGTACTGACACTACCACCGAGCAGGCAGGGGGCGTAGTCTCCCTGTCAACCGTCGGCATATCGTAATCCCGAGAAGAGCGCTGTGGTTAAGTCTCGCGGCTCTGATCGGGGGCGAGGGTCTTGGCTTAACCGCCCGGACCGCGAGGAAGATAACCTCTCTAAAAAATTCCCCGAATCCCGTGTTCTGGTGCGTGGCCAGGGGATGCATGGCTGATGGGAAGTTCAGTCTCGAGCGCACTCCAAGCCGAGGTACCTGCGGACCCCTCGGTTGGGTTAAAAACTTACGCTTGCCCGGGTAATGGGGGATCTCTGCCCGGGTGGACCTTTAGTTCTCCCCCACTCGTGGGATTATTATGGAAAATATTAATTTGAACAAACAGAAAACGATCGGAAAAAAAAACACACAACAGACAAAGGCAAGCCTAACGGACAAGGAGACGAAGAGGAGGAACAGTGGAGTGGATGGGTCGTCCACTGAGGGCGAGATGGTGTCGGGAACGCCTATCTCGATGGGGCTCCCAGAGGTCAGTCTGACTCTGGTCTCTGGGAGCCGAAGAGTATCGGATCGTATTCGTTCCGGATCCGCCATTTCATCGGATGGCGCGGAGGCCATGGAAGCGGAGCGAAGCGACAGCCGGAAACGCGGACGCTCCAGGGAAGAGGAGACCGACACGTCCGGCGAAATGATGCCACCAAAAGTGGCAAGCAGCCGCCGAGGGAGGGCACGCAAACCGGCCTCGGTCGCGATCCCGTCAGGCTCCGCGTTCTCAAACGCGGAGTCCTACAGAAGTGTACGGGTGGACGGCGAGGCCGTAGCGGAGGAGAAGATCGCGGATCTCCTGCTCAAGGTTCGGGAGCCGGTGGGGGGAAATGCCCCCCAGGCTCCCGTGTCCGTGTAGGAGAGGGCGAAAGCGGCGGTGGCCGTCATTCACAAGGTGGCCACCAAGTCCGTGAACCTTAAGGGCTCGTTTGTGAGGGCCCTTAAGGACTCCTCCTCCGCTTTGTCGGAGGTCGTCGAGGGCCTAGTGGGCGATGTCTCGCGCCTACAGGTGGCCAACGAGAGGCTGACGGAGCGGGTGAACGAGCTGAGCGCTCAGTTCGCCCGCTTCCAGGCGAACCTCCCCGAGCGGGAAGCCCCGTCCGCGTCCCAGCCTGCCCCTACCACCAACTCAGGGGCATTTGACTCCCAACTGCGTGAAATCCTCATCGCAGTTGGGAATATGCTGGACGGACGCCTGGCTGGCCTGGAGGCGAGACTGCCCCCTGCGCCGATTGTGCGCCCCCCGCTCGCGTCGGCACAGCGACCTAAGGCCGCCGCTCCGACCGCGCTCCCCGTGGTGGGAGGCCGCGTTTCTTACGCGGCGGCGGCGTCTGCCCCTACTCCATCGGCTCCCCAAAAGCCGAGGAGGGGGGCCAAGGCACCGGCCCAGGCGCCGGCCAAGGCACTGTCCCAGGCGCCGGCCAAGGCGCAGGCCAAAGTGCCGGCCAAGACGGGGCCTAAAACGGCGCCGAGGAGCGGAGTGGCATTCCCTCCGTTCCCCACTCCGACACCCCTGCCGGGCCCCTCCGCACCTGCCCCCTCCAACGAGGATTGGCAGGAGGCGAGGGGCTCCAAGAAGTCCCGAAGGCGGGCCAGAAGGGCTGCCCAAAAAGCAGCCCAAGCCCAGCCTTCGCCACCGGTGGCAACGGCCTCTGCAAAGAGGCCGCGGAAGCTGCAGCCGCCCAAAACCGCGGCTGTAGTGGTGACCGTGTCCCCGGAGGCGGCTGACGGCGGGCTGTCCTACGCGGCCGTCTTCAAAAAGGCCCGGGACAGCCTCGCCAACGATTTCGGGACGGTGGGGGTCAGGATGCGCCTCGCCCAGACGGGAGCTCGAGTCCTCGAGTTCCCTGGGGCTGAAGGCGCAAAGACGGCGGACTCCTTTGCTGAGAGGTTGCGGGGAATATTTGCGACCACAGATGGTGTCAGGGTCGCCAGGCCTACCAAGTGCGCGGAACTGCGCATCTCGGGCCTGGACGACTCAGTGACGGCCGAAGATGTCCGCGCTGTAATCCGGGAGAAGACGGGGTGCAGCGCGGAAAACGTCAGGGTCGGCACCATCCGCCCCGGTCCAGGAGGGCTTGGCGCCGTGTGGGTCAGCTGTCCCGTAGCGTCGGCCAAAGTACTGGCCGACGCCGGCAGGCTGCTCATCGGTTTCGTGAGCGCCAGGATCACAGTCCTGGCGGCGAGACCGATGAGGTGCTACAAATGCCTAGCATCGGGACACACGCGCGTCAAGTGCGACAGCTGTTTTGACTGCGGCGGACTGTGTTTCCGCTGCGGTCAACCGGGGCATAAGGTGGCAGAATGCTCTGCCGCCCCTCACTGCCCAGCGTGTGCGGCGGGCAATAAGCCCGCCAATCACCAGATGGGGCAGAGAGGCTGCAAGCCTCCCCGCAGTTCTCGGCAGACGTCAGGGGCTAGCCAGTCGACCCAGGCTACCCCCGACGTCAATATTGCGTCGACGTCGTCGCCCATGGAGGAGGTTGTAGAGACGATCCAGTAATGGATCAAGTCTCCAACCTCCTGGTCCAGACGAACCTGAACCACTGTGCCGCGGCGCAGGATCTCTTCCTGCAAACCATGGCACAGTGGTCGATAGGTGTTGCCGTAGTCGCGGAGCCCTATTCTGTCCCTCCCCGTCCTAACTGGATGGGTGACTGGGACGGCTACGTGGCAGTCGTCGGTTCCACGACGGCTCATTCCCCGCCCTTGTCGCTAAGAGACAAGGGCACTGGATATGTTGCCGTCGAGTGGGGGGGGATCACCATATATGGTGTTTATTTCTCCCCCAACCGGAGTTTGAACGACTTCGAGGTTTTCCTAACCAGCTTGGAGACCTCGATACGGCGACTAGCGTCTGGGCACGTCCTTGTGCTGGGGGACTTCAACGCAAAGTCCATTGCGTGGGGTTCCCCCAGGACGGACGCAAGGGGCGAGGCCGTAGAGGAGTGGGCGGCCTCGGTGGGCCTCTGTCTTCTCAACAGCTCCGCGCGTCGGGCCCCCCCCCTTACGGAGACTCTCCAGCCCAGCTTCCTGCGAGAAGTGGTTGAGGGCCTTTTCCCACAACGAGCGGAGCACACTCCCCCGTCGATGGCCTCCCTGGCCGGAGACGACGGGGAGCACGGGGAGGATAATGTTCCGCCCGTCCGGGATTCGGAGGTAGGGGCGGCTGTTCTACGGATCCGTTCCAAGAACACCGCCCCTGGGGCAGACGGGGTACCGGCCCGAGTGCTGGCCCTGGCCCTCAACCACATGGCAGACCGCCTCGGGGAGGTGTTCGACGCTAGCTTGGCGTCGGGTACGCTTCCCTGAGTGCTGGAAGAGCGGGAAGCTGGTCCTATTGAGGAAGCCGGGACGGCCTGCCGATTCGGTCGCGGCCTATAGGCCCATCGTGCTGCTGGACGAGGCGGGCAAATTGTTTGAGAGGGTTCTTTCTGCCCGCATCGTCCGGCACCTCCTGCGAGGTGGGCCCCGATCTGTCGGACGCCCAATTTGGTTTTCGGGCGGGGCGTTCGACGGTCGACGCCGTGTTGCGCCTGAGGGCCGTGACCGAAGAGGCAGTGAGCTGTGGCGGCGTGCTGTTGGCGGTGTCATTAGACATCGCCAACGCATTCAATAGTCTGCCATTCAGCTGCATCAGGGAAGCACTCCACTATCATGGGGTGCCAAAGTACCTGAGGCGGCTAGTGGCAGACTATTTAGAGGAGCGTACCGTCGTGTACGAGGACCGAGAAGGTAATCTGAGGTGTCGGCCCATGTCGTGCGGTGTTCCACAGGGGTCTGCTCTTGGACCCCTCTTGTGGAACATAGGGTACGACTGGGCCCTTCGAGCCGATTTCCCCCCCGGGCTGGGTGTAATCTGTTACGCAGACGATACCCTGGTGACAGCCCGGGGGGCAAACTTCCAAGAGGCGGCGCGCCTGGCCACAGGGGGAGTCTCCCTGGTGGTCGGGCGCATTGAGGCGCTGGGCTTACGGGTGGCCCTAGATAAGACGGAGGCCCTGTTATTTCATGGGCCCCGTCGTGGTCCACCCCCTGGCGCCTCAATCGTGGTCAACTCGGTCCTCGTACCGGTTCGGGCCCAGATGAAATATCTGGGCCTGATCCTCGACGGGAGGTGGCTCTTCGACGAGCACTTCCGACAGCTTGCTCCAAAGCTGCGCTGCGTCTGCCCTAGGGCGACTTTTGTACAATATGGGTGGACCCAGCGTCGCGACAAGACGG